AGACCTAACTGTTTATGGACAACTCAAAACTTATTATAACACTGCTGTAACATATTGGATGGTAAGCAGTCCTGGCAAAAATTTGAGTTGCAGAATATTCAAAGGGGATTTGAAAAACCTGGCATATGGCCATTTATTTCAAACGTTTTCTCCGATGAGGATTTCACTTGTTCTTCGGTCACTGATCGCTGCTTGCCGGAAGAGGATAATGTTCCTACAGAACAATCGATTTCAGACCAACCTGTCATGGAACAGACTTCAACAGAAGAAAATGAGAGTCTAGAGGATCGTTCAAGTTCTAATGTGGAAGTCACTGGGCCATCTCAACTGGAATCTCCATCTAGAAGCCAGACTAGTGGCACTGTGAATGTAACACCTGATTTAGTAAGACCATATCCGAAGGCCGGCCACAGAAAATTGCATGGCATGAAACGGAAGAAGGGAAACACTAGAATATTGACGGACACACCCGAAAAAAAAACCTAAAGAAATGGAAGAAGAAGAAAGACAAAGAAAAAATAAGGTCAAAGAGCTCAACAAAAATCGAAAAAGCTCTGACAATACAGGACAGAAAACTTTCCAAAGCTTGCTGATGAATTTACCTCCAAATCAAAGAAAAACAGGAAGATTAGCAGTGATGATGAAGTAGAAAATGTTTCCGTTTCTGACGAAGCCCTCGTTGAATCGAAGGAAGATTTTGATGAAGACGATGTGATTGTTCTGGATAGAAATTTCCAGATCAATGACTTTGTGTCGGTTAAATTTGAAACCAAAAAAACTGTCTTTCGTTATATTGGAATAATCGAAGAGGTAAGTCACTCCATGGCAACTATCAAATTTATGAGAGCTAGTAAGATAAGAAATACGTTTATATTCCCTGACATCGAGGACATAGCCAGCGTTCCTCTGGAGGACATAAAGACAAAATTACCTACACCAACGACATGGATGAAACGTGGCAGCCTAAAATATAAATTTGACAAGCCTCTCTGGGTCATACCAAATATGAGATAAGTTTAATTAAGTCCAACATCGTGCAGTATTGATTCTAAGTCACATTGTTTAATTTTTCTAAAGTCTATGATAAAAAAAAATGTTTGTATTACAATTTCTTATAGCAATGTTATATAATACATAAGCCTAGTAGTATCGTGAAGCAATATCATGCATATTAAATACTCCAAACCTCCCTACAGGGATGCCCAAACCTCCCGACTACCGGGAGGTTTGGGCACTTTGGACATGTGTTAGAAGATCTTTTGTAACTTTCAGACTAATGTTAATACCGGAAACTTTTCTTAGCAATAGTTACTGCTAAATATATTTGGAATATAATTTTTATTATGATAAAAAATAACAGTTTAATTAATATTTATGTAAAAAAGTGCCCAATGCTCTCCTACCTCCCCTACAGTCTTCCACTGGACATAAATAAATTATGAGGTTAGTTTTTTGTTTGCGGACATGCGCATTATTGACGTTGTTTTACTGGGCTTGGTCTCAGTCCTGAAAAGTTAAAAGTTGCGAACTTTCAGGATGACATTTTAAGGACAAAGACAAGAACGTGAAATGTTGTATAAATGCTTTTATGGAAACATATACATTGAACTTTTTTTGTTAAGACTGAAACAAAGGCAGGATGTATAAATCGGCACTAATATTTTCTCAATGACTCCATATGTGCCTACTTTGGTCATCGGATTATGTCAGCAGTTCATAATGAACTTTCAATTTACTCAGGGTATCAAAAACACCTATGATAATTCATTACTAATCGACCTAAATAATCATTATTGATGAAATAAAAATGAGAAATAACGTCAGAATAAATATAACAGAGTTGAAGTCAAATAATATAAAAATACATAAAACACAGAAACCTAAAAAATGAAACGCTTCACTATGATTCTGTTCGTGAACTTTCAACCTATCACTTCGACTGAACAATTTTGAACATATAAAACACTGAAAGGGTTTTTCACCAGTATGACATCTTTCGTGAACTTTCAAACTGTATTTTCGGGTGAAAGACTTAAAACATATTTTACATTGAAATTACTGTTCCTCAGTGTGACTCCTTTCATGATTCTTCAAATTACTACCTCGAGCGAAAGGTTTAAAACAGATTTTACATTGAAATGGCTGTTCACCAGTGTGACTCCTTTCATGATTCTTCAAATTACTCCCTTGAGTGAAAGATTTTAATTTCGTCGGTGTGAATTCATTCTCTCGTGAATTTTCAAAGAACTCTTATGAGCGAAAGATTTAGAACAAATATCACACTTTGGTCGCTCTCCAGTATGATTTCCATTATGGTGGGCCATTATCAGGTATATGAAAGCACCACCTAATTTGCAAGAATCAAAATTTGAAAAATATGTCACTTCACAGTATTCAGCTAATAGAAGAAAGAAAGAAAGAAAATGTAATTGACCAGGTACATTTCCCAAAATAAATTACCATGACATAGTAACACTTTATCTCATTACCGTTAGAGGTATTTCTCAAATTATATCACAGGAACAGGTAGTGATTGACTTTCCCTATTTATGACCAGTTGATCATTCATTAACATATTGATGTTGAGAGAACAATTTCATTTATTCATTGGAAACATCTGTTATATAAATGTAATATTCAACAGCCTCGATTTTGAGAGTACAGAAAATAATATGGGGCCTACTGCGAAATTTGAGGCTTCTGTGGTCAATTCGAATGGTTTTTCGAAGTCATGATATACTAGAACAGGTTCAGATATGAGTATTTTATTGTGCATTTGGTCATAGGTTTCGTGAGTCCTGCAAAGTTCTTGAAGAATTTGGTTCCACCAAATCGAAATGGCCTAAATATCTATCGAAAAACCCGCGTTCAATGTGGACCATGGTCACTATGAATACCGTTTGGTTTCAAAAACGCACCATCAAGCTTCAAAAGTGTAATAGATGAGGTTCTCGAAGACTTGCAAAATAAAATTTGCATGGTCTACATGGATGACATCATCATATTGTTACCAACATCCAATATTTCAATATATATATTACAGAGATTAGCCAATTAGGAGAGAACAAAGAAGGGATAGCCGGTAGGCGGAGTCTACGCGCGCGCGCCGCTAAGGTATAAATATAGACCGTTTCGCACGCCAAGGCGCTGCAAGGTTGAAATCAACCAGTGTACCTAAGTGAAGTAAAGTTAAGTGAAGTGAAGTGAGTACCTAAACCCAGAGTGTCTACCGGCGTGAGGAGTCACTGATTATTATAATCAAACTCTTCTGATAGAGACACCAGAGCCTAGTCCAAAAGGCGAAGGTGCCGCTAACTCCCAGATTCAGCACCTGGAGGTGCCACAACAAAGGATCACCAAAAACTCAAGGTTGTACAACTAAATACTATTACTAAAACAAAACAAAAATATGGCGAGACAAACTCGCCAGTCCAAACGCACACAAATCCCATTTACTAATCCCTCTCCATCCTTTTCCGGCTCGTCTCCCGAGCGCGAACCACCAATTACCCCCCCTCCAACATCCACACTTGTCCAAACTAATAAACACAATCTCTTCAACATCCGCGAAATTCCCAATGATCCCAATCAAAGGGCACTATTCAACTTCCTCAACACCCATGAATTCCTCCGTGGAAAAATCACGGAACTAAAAGTAAATTTTAATAAAACCGCATTACTTAAAACAACCGACTGTTCCAAATCACAGTGGCCATCGGCGACTTCAACGCAAAGTCGCCAGACTGGAACTGCAGAGTTGCAAACACAAGAGGCAGAGATATAGTAAGATTACTAGACGAATTTGAGGACATCGAGGTGGTAGCATCAAACAGCCCAACGTACTACCCGCAAGCAAACGCAGTCCCAAGCACTCTCGACATCGCGCTAGTACAGAACGTCGACACTACGGAGATGGAAGTACTAGATGAAGGTTCGTCAGACCACAACCCCATCCTATTCACAATAGGAAGGGGAGAAGTGGAAACAGACAACCCAACAAAGTGAATCATAGACTGGACAAGATTTCAGGGAGCCATACACGACGCGCTGGGTGAGATACCACGCATCGAGACAAAAACAGATCTGGAGAACGCCACGGACCAGATCCAGCAGGCGATCATACAAACAACGGAAAGAAGCGCGAGGGAAGCCCCAGCCACGCGCTATAACTTCCAAGAGCACCTTCCACCAGAAACGATGGAACTAATCAGAATAAGAAGACGCCTGAAAAGACGGTACCAAAGAACACGTGCACCGATGGACAAAAGGTGCATGCAAAGAGCAAACAGGATACTGAAAGAAGAGCTGAAAGCTATCCGAGAAAGACAGTGGACCACCCGTCTGGAAGAACTGAGCACAGAAGATAGATTTGCGTGGCAAATGCAGAAAAAACTTGGAAACGGACCAGGACAACCCTGCCCACCAATACACGGCGAGCAAGGAATTGTCTACACTGACCATGAGAAGGCGGAAGCATTCGCGGACAACTTCGAAAGGCAGTGCAAAGAGAATGAAGTCCCGTTCACAGACGAGGTAGAAGAAATAGAAAACCAGGTGGAAAGAACGGTACGGAAGCTCAACCGACAGACAGATAATGCGCAACCCCTGGCCCCAACATCGCCTGAGGAAGTTAAGGACATTCTGAGACGCCTTATTAGCCGGAAAGCACCAGGCCCAGACAATATAACAAATCGAGCACTGAAAGTGCTGCCACGAAAGGGTATAGCAGCCATAACCAACATCATAAATGCTATACTCAGACTGCAACACTTCACCGCAAAAACATTTTTGCTAACTATTGGGCTCTTGGTGATTCATAACTACAACGAGACTATTTATCATCCTGCATGAAGCCTGTTAAATCTAAATACCAATACCAGCGGAGTAACTCTAATCGACGTGACAATAATTAATTTCATTTTTCAGTTAATGGAAATATTGTTAGAGTTTGTAAATCATTTTTCAGATCCAGCGGCGGTCCTAAGGCGGTGCGACCGCACTAGGCGCCGTAATGTGTGGGGCGCCGAAAACGCTCGACCACTGATCGCGTTTTCTTCATAATCATCCATCAGTCACTCGCAAAAACTATTTGTTCGCGCACGTGTGTATTTAATTACTTCTTACTTGTGTCTTGTGATCTATTGATTAAACTTCAAACAACTATTGCCTCTGTTGCAGATACAGTTCATTTAGGTAAGTAAGATTATGCATGTTAGAGATAGATTTTATATTAGCCCGATATATCATATTTTAACTATCCTAAAGTATTAAGATATAAATTTGATTATTTCATTATATATTTTACATATAGGTAGGTATCTTTTTTATTTGTATGAGGGTGGGTTTGTACATTAAGTAATTATATATGATGTATCCTTTGTTTAGTTCAAAATTTGCCCTCAAGTAACTTAGTAGACCTCATTTATTTACATAATATATATGTATCTCTTACAGAAAATAAACATGCCGCCACCAAAAAAACTATCAGGCGCACAGAACCTAAAAAGAAAAAAGAAAAAATAAGAGGAAATTGAGAAAGGTGCAAAATCACTTGCAAAATTGTTGAAACTTGAGAAGTCAACTGAAACATCGTCGTCATCAAAACTAATTCAACAGACAGAAGAAGACGAAGACAAATGTTCTGCACGCGAAGCTTATGAACATGAAGAGCAAAACACGCAAGACATTGCTACTTCTGGAACCTCATCTGCAGATCAAAATATTGTAGAAGATATTGTACAATCATCACCATGCTTGCAAGATAATTATTGGGATGATATTTCAAAGTGGCCGCCACTTATTGATTCTTCAACACGAGATGAAATAATTATTAGAGGACCTGTAAATAATGAAATAAGTAATGAAAAGTACCCTAGAAAATGTGATGGGCGTCATTTTTCAAATATACATTTTCAAAGAGTAATGCCAAATGGAGAAATTTTTAAAAGAAGATGGCTTGTATACTCAAAATCTGCTGACAAGGTATATTGTTTTTGCTGCAGTATATTTAATCGAAGTGTACATTCCAATTTGGGAAAAGATGGATTTGATGACTGGAGGCACTTATCAACACGTCTTAAAAGTCACGAAGCATCTTCAGATCACCGACGTGCTATGAACAATTGGATAGAAGCATCGATTAGATTGAAGAACTTGAGTGGAATAGACAAACAGTTGCAAAAACAGATTGAAGACGAGAAATCAAAGTGGGTCGCTATCCTCGAACGAATGATGTCCATAGTATTCTTTTTGGCAGGCAATAATTTGTCGTTCAGAGGAAGCTCTGGATCTGAAACTTTATACACTTATAATAATGGTAACTTCCTGGGTTTGGTGCAACTTCTAGGAAAATTTGATCCTGTGATGATGGAACACCTTCGCCGCATTGTTAATAAGGAAACTAATGTCCACTATTTTAGCAAACGAATTCAAAACGAGTTAATTGGGTTATTTGGAAGTGAAGTTCGAAATAAAATATTGACCATGATTAAGTCATCTAAGTACTTCTCCATCATACTAGACTGCACTCCTGATATAAGCCACGTTGAACAATTATCATTAACTTTCCGTTTTGTTGACACGAATGGAGAAGAAGTCAAAGTACGAGAGTGTTTCGTTGCTTACAAGCCGGTAAGTGACTCTTCAGGAGAAGGGCTCACTGGCCTTTTTCTTGATGAAATTGTGAAGGAAGTTGATTTGGATATGAACGATTGTCGAGGTCAAGGATATGACAATGGTTCCAATATGGTAGGCATAAACAAAGGTGTCCAGACCAGAATTCTGAACCAATTTCCTCGAGCATTTTTTAACCCTTGTGGCTGTCATAGCTTGAATTTAGTGATAGCAGATGCGGCTAAATCATCCGTTAAATCTGTTTCTTTATTTGGATTTCTTCAAAGACTGTTTGTAATATTTTCTGGGTCAACAAAGAGGTGGGATGTCATATCCAAACACATAGAAGGACTATCATTGAAAAAAGTTTGCGAAACTCGCTGGGAAAGTAGAGTTTCTAGCCTTGCTTCTGTTCGCTATAATTACTCTTCAGTTCGTGATGCTCTTTTGGATCTTCACGAAGAAACTAATGACTCAGTTGCTGCATCAGAGGCTTTATCACTGATTCAGAATATGGAGCAATTTGAATTTATAGTTACAATGGTGGCTTGGTACGACATCCTATTTCAAGTTAACATTGTCAGTAAAGCTATGCAGTCTGAAACTATGGATTTATCAAACGCATCGCAATTATTGAAAAACTGTTCTGAATTTGTGAAGCAGTACCGGACGTATTCGACTGCACAAATAACAGCTAAGGAAATAGCATCTGAGGATGGGATAGATCCTACATTTAAACCAGTCCGACCCCGAAGAAAAAAGCGATTATTTGGGTATGAAGCTACAGATGAAACACCAACAAATCCCGAAGAACTATTTAAAATTAACGTCTTTTACCCTATGATAGATACTATCGAAAATGCACTGGTGACTCGGTTTGGACAATTATCCAAATTTAATGATACATGGTCTTTTTTGTACAATAT